CTGTGCATGTTTGCACCATGCAGCAGATCCAAGCTTCGTGAAAACAGAACAGTGGTTGTCAGCAGTACGTGAAGGCCTGCCAAAGTGGTTCTGAATCAGGACGATATGATGTGAATACTGACCAGTTGGATGGCTTTTTTTATTCAGCACCTTGGCTTTGTCCCACCCATCTGCCTGATGGAAGCCCATTTGTGGGATGATCACACTCTTCATTTCTCCCCAGTAATGGATGCAGCTCCTTTTGAGGCTCCCACCTCTCTGGACGCTTTCCAAGATACTGACCATGAATGTAAAATTCAATACAGCTCTGCTGTTTTAATCTGATATCTTAATGTCTTCATTAAACCAAGTGAGTTTAAAAGCTGAAGTCTTTTATAGTCCATTTTGCCGCAGGTTACCAGAGATAAAGTAAGCATTTAACCACTAAAGAGTTAGAAATATCTGTAATTTAAAGGTGACTACTTGTTATTGCTTTTTGAAATGGATTCATATAACAATTTGCAGAACGCAAATTATTATCAAACTGGAGGCAAAAAAAATTAATCAAAAGAAAATCTGATTAAGCTCTGTAGTAAGGTCGTTCATTGCCCAATGAAACTGTTTCCCTGTGTTTAAGTAATTACTCTAAATGATTTGAACACCACTTTAGGAATATAGTAGTTAAAGAAAATCTATTTACCAGCTTTTCCAAGAGCATTCAGAGGTTGAAACATAATAATGTAGAGATGCATCATACTGAGATAAAGTGATCAGTTTAGATTTGCTGATGCTAAATGAAGCTGAACAATAAGATTTTTTTTTTATTGTCTTAAACATTATTAGAAGAACAGAGAGGACCAGTATGCCTGTAAAGTATATCAACATGTGAAGAGTTTTTTATAAAGATCAATGGGTCTATTTTAACTCAACTTTAACGTCACCTTTTAGCTTAAAGCTACAGTGTGTAACTTTTAGCGACCTTTAGCGGTCAGACTGCAAACTGCAGCAACATGAACATCTCCCCCCACCGCTTCTCCCCCCCAACAGTACGGCGAGCGTTACGGGACAAAATGTCTTCCACGACGTCCGCATCACCTACCTTCTCAAGTGATGAGGTTTGTTTACATAGATAATTTTACAGATAGTATTTCATTAGTCTGTGTAGGGTATAGATTTCATGTAAACTTAAGATAATAAATATACCCGTTATTTTTTCTACATTGTTGTGACGTTTTGGCGATCTCGCAATCGCTAGTTTGTTGGCTCTGCGCTGCCGTAGCGCAAAGATGTCTGCCTCCATGGCTGCGAGACCCGCTCCTATGTAATTATAAATAACGAATTCTAAGGCAACGCAAATATTAAGGTTAAGGGGCTGAGCTCGTAGATGATGATAAATAACGTAGTTATGTGTAATATATTACATTTCTGACTGTATATTATTACACACTGTAGCTTTAAATCTGAACAAGATGAAATGTGAAGATTGATGTATATTTACTTAATTAAGAATACTTTGGGGGCTAGAAGACAGTGTTACTTTGATAAAGTTATAGATAGAGCTTCATCTTCATGTGTCTCATGTATGGCTGAGTTATATATGACCATTAGGATAATTGGTTATTCTTTATGTTCCTTAGGTATAATTGTTTTTTTGGTTTCGTTTCCAGTGTACTGCACTTCTCACTCATTGATCACAGCCTTCCTGCATCCCTGCAAGGGTGTGTACACTGCAAAAAAATAGAAATTAAAATAAGTAATTTTTGCTTCAAATAAGGGAATTTTTTCTTGAATTGAGGCGACAAGACAGACACTTTTCCAGTGGAACAAGAAAAAAAGTGCATATTATTTAATTATCTTATTTTAAGAGTAAAAATACCCATTCCATTGGGAAATCAACATATTTACCTACTTAAATTAAGGGTAAATACAATTAATTTAAGACATTTTACTGATTTCTAGATCTTTTTGCAGTGTATAGAAGATGGATAGATGGAAGAATTTGTTTACCTTGTCTTTTAGCCTCTTTTATGACCGCTATATGCAACAGCCACTGGTAGTTCAGGGGCAACATTACATTTCCCTGCTTTTTTGTGTGTTGTCTATCTTAAATGAAATTACTTCAATGATATTACGGGACGTTTTAGATATCTTTGAATAGTATGTTTGTTGTTTTTTTGTTTTTTTCTTACTTGGTCCAACTTGTTATTAAATACCAGCATGTATGTTTCAATGTATAGTTATGTATATGAAGGTTAAAAGGGGAAAAGCCAAAACTTAAAAGAGTTGCAACATAATTTTTTTACACTTATATCAATACTTATTTGCACCACATCCAATACCAACATTAAAAAGAAAAGCTCATGTTGTTTTAAATATCTTTGCTGAAGTCATTATGTTCTCATAGAGTTGATTTCTTTATCTTCCTTGCACTGTTTATATATATATATAAAAATGTTTATATATCTGGAGCATGTAACAAAAGTCATTTCCCTCTGGGATTATTAAAGCATGTCTGCGTCTGAGTTTGAGTTCTATTTGATGGATTTCTTCTTTAAGTTGTCATAGAAGCAAACCTACAAACGTTTTTGTTTAAGGAGGAGGAGAAACTGAAAATATAGTGCATTGGCATTTCTTTAACCTCTGCAAAAAACACCTCAGGGTTTTTAAATAATGCTGTAACTTTGCAGAAAAATACTGAAATCCTGAGCAACAACTTTTGCAGAAGTTCCCTGAAAACTTTTGCCAAAGGTGTCGAGTGCTACAGCATAATTTCTACCAACATTGGCATGTTTCAAAGAATAAATGTTGCAAATTTAGTGTATTCAAAGAGCTTTAATGTCTATTTAGGTTAAAATGTTTTGGACTTTTTGGAGTTAATTTGTCTGTTTACCATACCTTGCAGTTTCCTTGAATTGAGACGCCCTCGTGCATCATGTTGTCTGTAATGTCAGACATTTTAATATCATCTCTAACATGAATTGAATCAAACCCACTGGGTTTTATTTAGAGAAGATGAACCCTTGCCCACTATAGCCGACATGTGTTGAGACAGATGGTAAAAGTCAACCTCAGCAGGTTTCTTAATAGCTTTGGCCTAAGCTTTCTTTAAGATAGATCTGCTTTTAATATGTATAATTACACAGTTTAAAGAAAAAATACATCGTGATGCAACACTGCGCCCTGGTTTATCACCCTGTGCTTGTGTTTTGCATGTCTGGATTACTTTGGAACAAGCTTCTTCTCTTTGCAGCAGCTTAAGGGAATGAGCTCAGTAACTATGCCACAGTTTCACCAAGCAACAAAAAAAAGAAAAAAGCTACAAGATTTCCTCCCTTCCTGTCTGATGATTTGTATGTTTCAGAAAACAATCCCTGCAGGATCCCTGTAATCGGATTGTCGGGTGTTTGGGGCTTTGTAATGCTGCCCTAGAAGAGCACGTCTTCCATCTAAGAATAATTATCGTTTTGGATACTGGTCCTTCAGGTTTTTCTGATTTATTTTTAGAGGATTGAGCTAGCGAAGCTCACAGAAGTGAGGGCAGATGGGGAAAAAAATGCTGCCTAAGTAAAAATAGAATGTGGGAAACAGATAAGGGCAGCTAGAGACGACTCCTTTTGCCAGTGGTTAAGTTAATGTCTCCGGTGAAAGACCCAGCTCTTGTCACACGGACTAACCCCCAACCCTCGCTGGCCTGAACGCTGTTGAGGTCTTGTTGTCGACTCCATGGGGACTGACCCAGTTCCCCCGTACTGCTAAAAGGTCACGCCTTGGTGCTCTGAGCCGCATGCGTGTGGCCAGATTAAACTTAAAAACACAAACACTGAACTGTTGGACGTGACGGGTAGGACATGAACACCTGCAGTGAAGAGAAAAAAAGAAATAACGACAGTTTTTGTTTTTTCTTTTCAAATCCAGAAACAAATATTTAATAGTGTGATAACATATTAGATTTTTTTCTGGCTTTCAAAATTTTCAATGATAAAATGATATGTGATGCAATTAAAGTTTAGTTGTAGTTAACCTTTTTTGAAAGCTTAGTTTCATTTACCAGTGAAGCTGAGGCTATATTACTGCCAGAACTGAAGAATTAAAGATATCACTTATAAAGAACCTTTCTAACAGCATGAAGTAGGCTAAAGGAATTTAAAAAGGAGCACATCATCCCTAAACTTGAAAAAAAGTTGTTTCTGATTTAAGGGGAGCAATCTACAACAACAAAAAACACATTAAGCACCATTTTCTGTAGTCTTACCGAGTATTCAATTAAATTCAGTTTATCTATATAGCACCAATTCATAACACATGTCATCTCATGACACTTTACAGTTTACCAGATCATACAGTCAAATTGTATTGGCACAATATTATTCCTTTTAACTAGCTGAAAACTATATTTGAAACCACCATTAGTTTGATGCCATGGGTGGCATTAAAATAAACACAGTTGCCCTCCACTAAGGCTCTAGATTTTACTGACTGGAGGAAAATGTGACTTTTTAAATGATGGTTCTATCTGGACTTTACGTAATGACATGGGTTCTTGCCAAGTAACTTTATTCAAAACACATTTTGAGCTATTTCCTCATAGCTCATGAATGTGCTGCCTGTGCCATCCTCTCACAGAATTGCTTCTTTAAATATTTGGCAGAGATACAAAGCAAAAATTTAAAGGTTGAATGTTTTTTTTTTTTTTTTCTGCTCTGATGTAACAGCTTGTACAACAACAAGTTCCCAATAAACAAGATCTGGTGTTACAACAACTGACAGGCCTGCTCTGTGATGTGTTGCTGCTCGTCCTTCAGCATTTATGAGCTTCTTTTTTTTTTTTTTGTATTCCTTATCTGCCGCCAACCTTCTGTGTGGAAACCTTGACAAGGTGGAGGAAGAGGTGCGCACAGCAGTCAAGGGGGGGAAAACAAAAGTAGCCCGGGGCACCATTTGCTAACATTCCTGTTCTCAGCTCTGTTGGTGTTGCTCCTTTATGTCAACTAACTTTCTCTCTTTCTCTCTGTGTGTTTCAGTCATTTCAAGGAAGTCAAGGAAGAGCCTACCTGTTTAATTCAGTGTAAGTATCAGACTTGATTTTTGAAAACTTTACTTTCATTCCCTTTTATGTCCATTTGATGTGTTTCAGGTTTACAGCGGCCACTTACAATACAAACTGATTCATGCTTTTAATAAGCTCATACATAATTTCTTATTAAACTGGGTGCATGCATGTGGAAGTATTTTAAGACAAAACCTCAGACCTGCTTTGTGTGACATTATTGGAAAATGAAAATATATCCGGCAAGATTATCAGGAGAGCACAGTGGGCCTCCTTCCGATTCATCATTTGATATAAGATCCTGGCGCCTGATGCGATTAAGAGAGAAAACTGCTTTTTCTTAGAGTTAACACATTTTGGTTACGATAAACATACACTGCAAAAACAATCTACAAATAAGCAAAAAATGTCTTAAATTAAGTTTATTTACCCTTAATTTGAGTAGGTAAATAAGATGATTTTCCAGTGGAATTAGATTTTTTTTACTCCTAAATAAGATAATTAGATAATATGCACTTGAAATAAGACAATGCAATAGTTTTTTTCCTGTTGTAAATGTAAATTGTCTTGTTCCATTGCAAAGTCTCTCAATTCAAGAAAAAAATGCTTGTTTTAGGGAGAAAATTACTTATTTAAATTTAGATTTCTTGCAATGTAAATCCCAGAAGAGCATTGAGGGACTTTGTTAAGAGGCTAGTCAAAGTTATTTAAAAAGTCATTATTAACAACAGAATGAGCCCTAAAATCATTCAAGAAACCTTTACGTAAATACCTGCTCAGACTCAACTGAATCGTCATCACCTACCGTTTGCAAAGCTGAGAATGTGATGCGGATAGTTGCTCCCAAAGCATCAACTTAGGCACCCATGTATGTGAATATCTGGTATAATATAAATATATATTAATTGTGCATCGCTTTTCCAGAGCTGGGTCTGTTCACTCTTTCACCAATTAGTACCGCCTTTTCATTCCTACACCTTCCATCTATTCCTCATGTGGTATGGTGCTAAAGAAGAACAAACATACTTAGATTTGACATCTTTCACTCATCTGGACAATATTTTCTGTAGACATTATATTAGACTCCAGTTCCATTGAATGTAGGTCTGATCCCCTTATTACAGATTATAGACAGCTACAGCTTTGATTAAACCATTATAAATGATCCCCTGCTGGTAGATATTATTTCCATATTGTAGATTTTGAGTAACTCTAGAAAATAATGGGGAAAAAAATTTCTTTTAAAAAAGCTGTCACCAAGGCAACCTAAAAACAACTTAAGGGTTGAGCTAATAGAGGTATATTTAGTCAGGGACAGGCACACTGCCTTTTGAGTATTGTTGATTTTAATCTGGTTTGAACATGTTAACTAGTTTTTATGATCTCCTTAACCCTATTTTGTTGTCTAAATCCTCAAAGTAGAAGTTTTAAAGGTGCAAAAAGGGAACTCTAACCACTTGCTGGACTGTTAACCAAAACAAGATGTGTAACAAGCGACGCCTATCCCCCGCTGCTGCCACTTCCCTCCACTGTTTTCCTCTGTCACCTTTAATGTCCATATAAAATAGATAAACATCAGAACAGTTGCTTTTTATGAATAAGTCAATAACTCAGAACTTTATAATACTGTAAGACAAAGAACTAAGAGGCACTTTCCGACATTTTCCTCGCTGTTCTGGTGGCCTTTGATGGAAAAGCTCTGAGTAGCCGCTACTCAAATGGAGGTACATGATCCTGTACACAAAACACTGGAGAACACAGAGAGATGGCATGGGACGTCACACCATATTACATCTGAAAAAATCTTCACATTACCACTTTTTACTACGATCTACCTAAAATAAAGACTTACTGCTTATTGCTTCTTTATGAACTTTTTGGGAAACTGGTTCAGTTATCTCAAGGCCTTTTTTTTGAGTCTGGTGCATTTATTTGTTCTGAATCGCTAATACTGGGTATGGATCAAATGTTATCATGTTTAATGTGACAACTAATCATAGGTGGTTTACGTTTAAAATATTTTTTTTTATTTGTTGGCTGACTTTTATCCTTTTCTTACTTTTTAAGCCTGGAAAATAATAAAAGCCAATTGGATTTTTCTCCCAAGTGTTCGGTACAGTGTAGGAAGCCTGTGGCAGGTGTATATATATTTACTACATTTATCTGTTCCCTCTGCTGGGTGATTTTCGATCCGCTCTCTAGAACCAACATCCATCTTTTCAAACTCAATAAAAAAAATCTGTAGTGGTTTATGAGTTGGTTTACCTCTGTTTGGGCCTTCACTCTTAATGAAACACACAGACGTCAATGCCCAAAGGCCAAAGACATTTTTAGGTGTCACCATGCAACAGCTTTGTCCCTCCAGAGTCTGAGTTTCATTGTTCTCACCTGCAGCCATGAGTTGAATGAAAGAGGCACACCACAGGCTTGACTGGATGAATAAATCTTTATAAATATTTGCTCTTTTAAAAGTACTAGAAACCAAGTGAACAATGAAAGCAATGCGTTTGACATTTTAGACTTGGAACCCTTCTTTTTATGTTTCTTTTTATTCTATGTCATATTCTTTTTGTCTTGTTTCATCCATCAGTTTAATCATTTTTAAAGTATTTTCAGTATATCTAGTTAGAGGGAGATTGGAAGGTGTCTTTAGCTTGCTTAAGGATAGCGCCTCCTCACCGAAAGGCTGTTGCATCAAACAGAATAAGTGAGGATGTTTTATTTTATGGTAAATAGTTAAATTATTGGCATCATTTCAAACTCTAAACAGCTTTCTGCCAAGTTTTCACAACTTGCTTTTATTTCAAATAGGGCTGAAACAATTAATGGGATTAATCGTGATTAACTGATTATTAAAATAATCATCAATTAATTTAGAACTCCATTAAAGCTTTACTGGAGTGTAGAGACTCTAAAACATGCTTTTAGCTGACAGAACAATTTACTTAGATTAGTAATTATACCAAGATTGTAAAGAAGTATAAAGAATCTTGCATTTAAGATAAAAAAAATTATATTGTGATCCATCAATATGCTCCATCCAGAGGTCCTTCGGTGCAAAGGTTTATCATAAAAAAACTTCCCTTAGGAACCTTTTGCTATCTGATTATTCATTAACCAATTATTTGAAAATAAATAATCAACAGATTAATTGATTTGCAAATTAGTCGTTAGTTGCAGCCCTAATTTCAAACTATAAACAAACCCTTTGTATTAACATATGTAACTATTGGGTATCAGTTTATTTCTAATAATTTATGCAGCTAAAGCATCAAAGTAATGCTTATGTATATGATTGCACATTTTACTGGGAAAATTGTAATTTGCCAAATGTGTACGGACTGAATCTGACCTGACTGTAGGAAAGGTAGACTTACATTGGATTGAAAGCAGGTCATAAAAATACTTTAAAATCATCAGTTGTTGAATCAGCAATGAAACGCCTTAACTACTTCAGATCAATTATTTCTTTAAACTAAATATATAAGCAGGAAATGGTTGCTTTTTATTGGTTTTGTGTTTTTGATATGAGAGTAGGTTTGGAAAAAGCCCCTGCTTACAAAATGGGGGTTAGAATCAACCCAGTGGACCTAAATTTTGGGCTGTTTGCTTGTTGAAAAGCATTTTGTAATGGACTTGTGTATTTAAATGGATGTGTAAATAAAAATAAAAAAACAACAACAATTTGTTGATTGAACCTTTATAACCGTAGCCAGCTATAAGGATCATCGATCTGCTTTTATAATAAAAGGCAGACTGTAGTGGATGTTGTTAATGTTTCTGTGGAAGTACTATTCTTTCTTCTCTTAGCTGCCAATCTACTAAATAAACATATGCATCAGAAAATGTCGCTCGAACAGACCCATAATTATGATACTTTAAGCAGTATTATGTTTTTTAGCTATTTTCTTTGGTTGAATCTTTTGTAGATGACTGATTGTGTTTTCTCTTGTTGTTTTCAGGGTGAATGTGGGCTGCGGGCCAGCTGAGGAGCGGGTTCTCCTCACAGGTTTACACGCTGTGGCTGATATCTACTGTGAAAACTGTAAAACCACGCTGGGCTGGAAATATGTAAGTCGCTCATTCTGGAAAACTTTCTCCTGAAGCATCGCCCCCTAAAGCTGCCATCATATTGTTGCGCAACGACGTGGTTTTTCTGGATTGCGGGCTGAAAAATTATGTCATTACAGGTCAAAGGAGCAAAGCAAGCCCCATTAAGGCAGGGCTCTTTAATACCACCATGACACTTTTGTTCGGGTTGTCTTAAGGCGCTGCGATTGAGCACTATGTGGTTTCTCAGCGCACAACATAATTACAGCACCAAAAGGTTGGCTGCAGACAGCCAGACTGGTTCCTCAGAGACTCTACAGTGATTAAATGTCACACCATTTTGAAGAGTCTTGTTCCGGTAATTGTCTGAAAAGACTAGAGGGGAGTGTAAAATAACTGAGCAAAGGGGAAGACAGGGACTCCTCCGGTGACGGAAACAATCAGATCGCAGCGGGGGCGAGCAGGTTTACTAGGAGAAGCAGGGCGAGGAGCGAAAACGCTGACGCACGAGATCCTTTTGATGACGAGAAGGATCAAGGCCTCAGCCGGAAATCACACAGCTCTAAACGAGATGGGATGTTACAATTTGACAAATGAGTTTGGTCAGAAACCATTTTCTGTTGTCAGGATGTTCCCTGCATCACCCCAAAAAAAAAAGTGAGCTGCTGTGTCCTGCTGTCTCTTTATGTTGGTTGCTTGAAATAAGGCGAGCTGCTGCCCTTTTTTAAGACGTCTGCCCTGGCTGGTTTTTCTTTTTTTGATTTAGTTAAAAGCATCGGAAATGGCTTCCAGGGCTGTAAGTTTATTCTTGCTCAGAACATCAGTTTCGCACATGTGGGGAAATGATGTAAAAGGAAATAAAAGAATTTCTGGCACTGCTTTCTTTTTCTTGAGCTTCTAGAAAAAAAAAACTTGCCTCTCAATTTTATTCATATATCCTTTCTCAAAAAAGAAAACATTCCTAATAGATCTTAGCTAAGGCTATTTTCTAAGCAGCTAGTTGCTCTCATTATGGTGTGAAGTAAAGTAGACTGCTATTTCCCATAAAACCCCAAAAAGTTGGATTAAAAGTGCTTGAAAAAAGCAATCTCCTTTCCATTTCAATTTGTATTGCAACCCTAACTGGTGTTAAAACCTTTACAAGGGCTGTTGGGTGTTGAAGTTTATATTATTTATTTTTATAATACAGATATTCCACTATATTACAACAGATTTGAATGCTCTGTTAGGATAATTATCATTGATGATGTGTGAGTTTATTAAACCTTGCTATTGGCTGCCTGTTGCGTGTCAGAAGAGATATTTTCCACAACATCAACATCAAATCCTACCTGAAACTACTGGCTAAGGATAAGGTTAAATACAGTAAGATTGTTATTCACGCTGGTGGTAATGACACCCGGTTACGCCGATCGGAGGTCACTAAAATTAGTGTTGCTTCGGTGTGTAAGTTTGCCAAAAAAATGTCGGACTCCGTAATTTTCTCTGGTCCCCTCCCTGATCTGACCAGTGATGACATGTTTAGCCGCATGTCGTCATTCAACCGCTGGTTGTCTAGGTGGTGCCCTGAAAACAACGTGAGCTACATTAATAATTGGCAATCCTTTTGGGGAAAGCCTGGTCTGATTCGGAGAGACGGCATCCATCCCACTTTGGATGGTGCAGCTCTTCTTTCTAGGAATCTGGCCACATTTATTAGTCCTCCAAAACCCTGACCACCCAGGGTGCAGACCAGGAAGCAGAGTTGTAGTTTAACACACATCTCTGCAGCTTCTCTACTGTTACCCACTCTTTACTCCATCCAGACAGTGTCTTGCCCACGACCAAAATCTAATAAATTAGCAAAGATTCCCAAAGGAGTAAATCATGATAATCTAATTAAAATCAAAATAACTCAAATTGGGGAAAAAGTTAAAACAATTAAATGCGGTCTGTTTAACATAAGATCGCTTTCCTCTAAAAGTCTACTAGTTAATGACTTGATTTGTGATAATCACATTGACTTGTTTTGCCTTACAGAAACCTGGCTGCAGCAAGAGGATTATGTGAGCATAAATGAGGCAACTCCTTCAAGCTATTTAAATTTTCACATCCCCAGAAGTTCTGGGCGAGGAGGAGGAGTAGCAACAATCTTCCAGTCTGACTTACTGATTACTCCCAAAACAGTTAATACCTACAACTCTTTTGAACATTTAACCCTTAATTTCCCTGATCCAAATTTCAAGGCAAGAAAACCTCTTCTTTTTGTAACTTTGTATCGTCCACCAGGTCCTTACTCTGAATTTTTAGATGAGTTTTCAGAGTTCCTTTCTGATTTGGTATTAAATACTGACAGGGTCATCATAGTGGGAGATTTTAACATCCATGCTGACATTGAAGGCGATAGCTTAAGAGCAGCCTTTAATGCTATCTTAGACACTATTGGCTTTGTTCAAAATGTGAATAGTCCCACGCATTCTCATCTTCATACTTTGGATCTTGTGCTGACATACGGCATAGAATGTGAAGAAATAACAGTATTTCCTCACAACCCTGTCCTCTCTGACCACTTTCTAATAACCTTCAGGATTACTTTAACAGAGTTCTCCTCCCCCAAAAGAAGGTTCAATTTTAGTAGATCTTTATCAGATAGTGCAGTTATAAATTTTAAAGAATCTGCTTCACTTTCTCTCTCCTCTGTGTCACTGAGCAGTGCTGCAGAGTGCAAAAGTTTAGCTTATTCCCCTTCACAGGTTGATGATTTTGTTGATGGGGTTGCTAGTTCTCTGCGTATTGCCTTAGACAACGCAGCTCCTTTGAAAATGAAAACCGTTAAAAATAGAAAGCTTGCTCCTTGGTTTAATGCAGAGCTGCGTACTTTGAAGCAAAATGCTAGGAAACTGGAGAGAAAATATCGCTCCACAGGCCTGCGAGAGTCCTTCCTAGTCTGGAAAAATGGTTTACTGCTGTATAAGAGGACCCTTTGTAAAGCAAGAGCAGCATACTTCTCCTCATTAATAGAGGAGAATAAGAATAATCCTAGATTTCTTTTTAATACAGTTGCCAAACTCACCCAGAGCCATAGCTCTGTTGAACCGTCCATTCCACCTGCTCTTAGCAGCAATGACTTTATGGGATTCTTTATAAATAAGATTGATCTTATTAAAAATAAGATCATAAGCACTCCTCTATCCGCGATTGTACCTGAGGTAGTCATGGAATCTGAACTGGGTTTAGACTGCTTTGATCCAGTTGAACTCTCTGAATTAGCAAAATTATTGTCTTCATCTAAGCCTTCAACTTGTATGTTAGATCCAGTTCCAACCAGGTTATTTAAGGAGGTATTCCCTTTGATCTCCTCCTCCATTTTAGATGTGATTAATCTATCTCTGTTACAGGGATATGTACCTAAAGCTTTTAAGGTTGCTGTAATTAAACCTCTGCTTAAGAAACCGTCTCTTGACCCAGATGACTTGGTCAATTATAGACCTATATCCAATCTTCCTTTCTTATCCAAAATTCTTGAGAAAGTAGTTGCCAAACAAGTTTGCGATCACTTCCACCATAATGAACTTTTTGAAGAGTTTCAGTCTGGCTTTAGAGCTCATCATAGCACTGAAACAGCTCTGGTGAAAGTCACTAATGATATTCTCATGGCCTCAGATAATGGACTTGTATCTGTGCTCGTCCTGTTGGATCTTAGTGCTGCATTTGATACAGTTGACCATAATATTCTTTTAGAAAGACTTGAATATTTTGTTGGAATTAAAGGAACAGCACTAGACTGGTTTAAATCTTATCTATCTGATCGAATTCAGTTTGTTCATGTTAATGATAGATCTTCAACACGCTCAAAGGTTACCTGTGGAGTACCACAGGGATCAGTGCTAGGACCAATTCTCTTTACTTTATACATGCTCCCAATTGGTAGAATTATTAGACAGCATGGGATTAATTTCCACTGTTATGCTGATGATACCCAGCTATATCTGTCTATAAATCCAGATGAAGCTAACCCATTACATAGATTACAGGCATGTCTTGAAGACATAAAAACCTGGATGACTCTTAACTTTCTGCTTCTGAATGCAGACAAAACAGAAGTTATAGTCTTTGGACCAGAGTCTCTGAAAAAGAAACTGATTAGCCAGTCACTTCATTTGGATGGGATTAAACTGATTTCAGATAATAAAGTAAAAAATCTTGGTGTTGTTTTTGATCAGGACCTGTCATTTAGGTCCCATATCAAGGAGGTTTCTAGAATTTCCTTCTTTCATCTGAGGAACATTGCAAAAATTAGAAATATCCTGTCCAGGGGTGATGCTGAGAAACTAGTCCATGCATTTGTTACTTCAAGGCTGGACTATTGTAATTCTTTACTATCAGGAAGTCCACAAACTGTAGTTAAAAGCCTTCAGCTGATCCAAAATGCTGCAGCCAGAGTTCTAATGAAAATTAAAAAGAGAGATCATATCTCGCCTATCCTGGCTTCTCTTCATTGGCTTCCTGTTAAATCAAGAATAGAATTTAAAATCCTCCTTCTCACATATAAAGCCTTAAATGGCCAAGCTCCATCTTATATCAGAGATCTGATTGTTCCTTATGTTCCTAACAGAGCACTTCGCTCTCAATCTGCAGGTTTACTAGTGGTTCCTAGAATTTCTAAAAGTAGAATGGGAGGCAGATCTTTTAGTTATCAGGCTCCTCTCCTGTGGAACCAACTACCAGTTTTAGTCCGTGAGGCAGACACCCTGTCTACTTTTAAGGCTAGGCTTAAAACTTTCCTTTTTGATAAAGCTTATAGTTAGAGTGGCTCAGGTTATCCTGAGCTATCTCTATAGTTATGCTGCTATAGGCTTAGACTTTTGGAGGACATAGGGACCCCCATTTCATCATTCTGCTTCATTCTCTCTCTGTTCTCCTATTCTGCAGAATCTGTTAGTTCAATCTCTAACCTTCTGCTCTCTCTGCTTTTCCTCAGAGTAGCTTTGCCTCGTCTGTTCCTGTTTGGCTGTGACGTCATCCTGGAAAGAAACATCAGCTGTGCTGCTTCTATCAACACCCTTGTTTATAGATGTTGGAGATCGGCCTGTTTTCCAGTGTGGTCCTGTTTCTCTGACCGTGACTGAGTGGATGTGCTTTCTTCGTCCTCTGGCATGGGAGCTGCCTTGGAGCTCGTCTGCCTGGCTGTGTGTTTCCTGGACGGGGCCGCCTTTTACAGCTGCTTTTTGTATCTCTGCTTCTGTCTCCTTGAACCCCAGTCGGCCTCGGCAGATGGCCGCTCACACTGAGCCTGGTTCTGCTGGAGGTTTCTTCCTGTTAAAAGGGAGTTTTTCCTCTCCACTGTCGCTACAAGCATGCTTAGTGTGGGGGATTGTATTTGAGTCAATGAGTCAATGCAATCAACTGGTTTTCCTTAGATAGAAAACTTTGTATCAATTTGATCTGGTTGAACTGTAAAGTGCCTTGAGATGACATGTGTTGTGAATTTGGCGCTATATAAATAAACTGAATTGAATTGAATTGAATAGTTTATCTAATTAAGACAGTTCCCCTCTCTGGATATATAGTTATAATGTTCATTTTGTACATTGCAAAGATTTGGAAATGGAATGAGAGCGGTGTCCTCCAGCTAAGAACGAAGGGTAATATTTTGATAAGGCTGGAGCCATGGATGTCTAATCATCTGCTAACCAGTGGCGGCCGGCCCATAGGGGGCGCTGGGGCACCGCCCTCCCTGATAAGAAGAGAGAAACGTAAAATATATTTTTAGAAATTAACTCATAAATGTCAGTTTTACTCTCTAGACTGTGTACCTATAAGCAAAACAAATTATATAAACAACATTTCGCTATCTACTGTCATTAATTTGTGGATTTCCACAGACAGACTCCTACCGTCTCTGTTCTGGGGGCGCTGATCAGACTGACCCACATTTGCAGAGAATCTGTCAATCATGTACTATTGCTAGATGAATTTAATGGCCAATCAGCGTCTCGGAACTTTATGGTCTTGGGGCTCTGAAAATACTGCGCTTTTACAGGCTTCTGAACCGAAGCGCAGGTGCAGACAATGAGAGGGACGATGGCGAACGAGATGCAGCTTCCACCAAATTCGGTGAGATCCTTATTTATCTACCCGTTTGCCAGAAGAACATCCCTGTTGTAGGATGGTCATGGTTATTGTGACTGTGACGAATCCACCTCGTCGCTTAAAACATCCTCTAACTTTGCGCGCCACACACACATTCCTGTTATGCTGTGTTTGTGAGGACCAATACACTCGCGCTGAGACCAGTAGCTCCATGAACTTAAAACACACAAGCTGTTCCTGGTTACCTGCTGGCATATTGAGGGTGCACACTTAATATTTCAGTGGGGTTAGCCGTGTGTGTGTGTGGTATGTGGGGGGTGTGGGTGTGTGGGTGTGTGGTGGGTGTGTACGTGTTTATGCTATGGGGACTTGTCATCTTCAGTCTGGCTGCGTCTTTGCTGGGTTCAAATCCAGTTTGGTGTAATTGAATAAGTCAACGAATCTGTGTAAAAGAATTAAGTTGTAAAAATTATTTGTTTTTGTAAATCAATTGTTTGTGGAGGTAATATATGGACAAAACTGATTAATGAGAAGAAATCAGAAATAAGAGAGCCTGAGGTGAGGGGCTTAAACTATTTAATGAGGGCTGTGGGAAGAAAAGCGGCAATTTTTGTTTTCTGTTTCTTTGTTACGTTGCTGGTAACTGGAGGGAGGCTGAGGCCCAGAGTATCTTGTACATGTTTAGTTTCTTTTGCACCCTGTTTTGATTTTTTGAGCTCAATAAATCACCAACACCGGTAACCAGACTGAGCCTGGATTCTTGGAGGCCAAAGAACCCCGTCACAGTGACCCAAATCATCACTGTTACTGTTATTATATAGTAAATTAAATCATTACTGTTAAATTGTATGTATTGTCCAATTGTTTAATCGAATTCTTATTCCGGATTAGTTGGAGACATACACTAGGCTATATCAGCCCCACCAAAAATATTCTTCACCAGCCGCCACTGCTGCTAACATGTATGATGTAAAATGTGATGAAGTGGCAGACTGGAGTTGTATAAAAGGCCTTTTTAACTGTTAATCGGGGCCACTTCCTGAGAGGTGAGCCCGGAGGTGAGCAGCTGCCATTCTGTAAATTCTAAGCAATTTCTCTGATCTGAGTAAGATTACAATTTATATCAAAATCAGTTGTCATGTCTCCTGGTTATTAAATACATTTAAGATATGAAGTGTTATTTAAAGAGTTTGTCCAGAGTGATCTCTTTTCAGGAAAAAGAACCTGAGAGATAGAGCTTGACAGCTCTTTAAAATTACTCTGTATTGGTCATTTGCTTTCAGTCTTTCAAGCTTTTGGCTAGAAAACAAAAAAAGGCTCAAAAATATCATCTTTATGCAACGATGATTCACTCTGATGTAGTTTATCTGTTCTAATTTTGTTCTTAAAGCATCAATTTACAACAGATGTTTTACAGAATCTGCTAACTGGACCAAATCAAATCCATCTACATGTAATCTATTTCAGTCCAGTTTTATCCAGTTACAACTGAGACTGTTCATGAGGAGTTCAATTTAATTGAATTAATAATTGCACTGACCAGTTATAAGTGAGGTGCCTACTAGGAAAATGATCCTGAGGGCAGGATCAGTGCCCTATCTCGTAAGAACCTATCTGACAACTGAAGTAGGCTTAAAGAATTAAAAACAACAACATCATAACACAAAGAAATTGAAGATCAGCTAAAAATGACAGTGTGTAAGGGGTTATAAAGCCATTCCTAAGGATTGGGAACTGCGGTGATCAATAGTGAGAACGATTACCCACTCTTGGAGATAACATGGAACAGTGGAGAACCTTCTCATTGGTGTTGATCCTGCAAAATCATCCAGGAAGACCAATTAAAAATAAAAATAAAAATCTGCAAAGCTGCAGACATGATGTTTTTCAGGTTGGTAAAGATTGGTGTTCATGATGGAACAGAGAGGAAAATCTCTGCTCACCCAGAACACAAGCAATCATTTTAAATTCACAAAAAAACGTTTTAAGAAAGTATTTCTGGGCACTGATCGGAAAATAGTGGAATCTTTTGCAAAGTGGGAAAAACCAGTATATATTTTAGAGAAAGAACATTAATTCAAAAGAGTGTCACTCTTTTGTGAGTGTTACTGGAATCTGAAGGAGATGCTGTAGCGAGGTCTGGTTAGCCTCTTTTTGCTTTTGATTAAATTAAATAATTATGCGAGAACCAGATTTTGCATTTTCTGATACCATCTTTTTTTGTTAAAATCTGTTTGATTTGATATATTGAGGTGCTAAAAAAAAGCAAAACAAATAAAATCTCTATGAGAGCAACAGATTTTTCACTATTTTTAACTTCCTGGTTTGTCTGTATGTAAAGTGATATCCAAACTAGAAACACGTTTGGAGCTACTTATTTAGAACTTAACAAAAAATTACACAAAACTTTCTTTTTAGTAATCCGTTCAGTCATTTCGGGTCAAGGTTTTTCAATCAAAGTTTTCTGAGCTTTTGTAACTAATTCTTTTTTTTTTGCCTGTTTTTTCACAGGAACATGCATTTGAAAGCAGTCAAAAATACAAAGAGGGAAAGTTCATCATCGAGCTGGCTCACATGATCAAGGACAACGGATGGGAGTGACAGCGGTGCAACATCCCATCTATTTGAATCCGTTTTCCTGACCTTGGAATGCTCTTGGTTTGAACTGAGTGGAGCGACAACCATTGACCCTGCATCCGTCTCCCTGCTCCCATTCACACCCTTTTCCCTTTAAAAGAAAAGACCTCCACTCACCTGCACACACCCACCTGCTCATCGTGAGAATCGGACATAACGAATGCATTGGGAAGTGGACTTAAAAACCTCACACCACCTTGAAGATTATGTGCTCTCCTTCGCCGCCGCTGAGCGTTTGGGTTCCCTCACCGTAGTCGCCGCCCACCCCCCCCACACCTCGCCTCGGCCCCACCGAAACACGCTTACTAGTGATTGTGGTGATGTGGCGAACCGCTGTGTGAACGGAGAGACTTCACTGAAAGAGACAGCTTGTTGTTTTTCTTTATTCCGCTCATCTTTGAAGACTTTGTTATTATTTTGAAGTTATATGCCATAGTTTTAACTTTTTTGAGGTTTGGTGAAGCTTTGGTTTGATGGCAGATGGATGTTACTGGTTAGCATTTTATTTTCCATAATATTTGTTTGGTTTATTTGTTGTTCTTTTTGGGGTTTTTTTTTTCTTTCTTTCCTCTTCGCTATTGTCCAAATGAGCAATCAGGGATGGGTTGAGAAGAAACGGGCAAAGGGAGTTTATTGTAGTTACAAACTTGTAGCAGGTTTTTTTTCCCTTTTTTAAAAAGTGGGATTTCAGTTATGTTGGATTTTATACCTGATGTTTCCTTATGTTTTTATCTCTCTTTGTGGACTTTTTTTCATTCTCCCTTCCTGGTACTTTTCAGCACCCAAAAAGAATCGAAAGCAGCACCTAGTATTTTGTTTGACATAAACAGGTATCAAACTTGATTTATATATATATATATATATATATATATATATATATATATATATATATATATATATATATATATATATATATATAAATGCATATATGAATATATAGATATATAAATATTTGTAGTGTATGGCTAATTGCGATTGTGGCTGGTCCCATTTTGCAGCAGAACCATGAATGAAAGAGACATGAAAAAGGAGCAGAAATCTTTTTTTTTTAAGAGTTGGGAAGCTGACATCAGTGTCCTCACTGTATTATCCCATTGTCTAGTAATGAAACGATGGAACACTGCTACATATGAATATAAATGCACATACTATGATTACATATCCATCAGTTCTATGATATTGTTCGTAGTATGTAGAAATTGATTGGAACATGGTTTTGGTATAAATATATATATATATATATATATATATATATATATATATATATATATATATATATATATATATATATATATATATATATATATATATATATATAGTTGCTGTCATGCACTTATGTGTATATGCATATTACTGTGTGTGTATATGCATAGTGTGTGTGGTTAAGCATTACACAGTGACATACTTGAATGACGCTACATCCTTTGCACGCTGCCGAGGCCCGTTATTCATCTCGGTTTAGAGGCAAAAATATTTGTTTTTTTTCTTTGTTTGCCCTTTTTGTTTTTTTACAGACAAAACTTAGATTCAATTTCATTTTGATTAATTTTGCTTCAATTTTGGCTCCATATTGTCTTTTCCTCCCAGTTTCTAGACCAAATTTGAGTACAGGTAGTCTCTGTTTCCTTGCCGCTCTTTCAGAAAAATCCTGCTCATTGTCTTTGTTTTTTCTGTTTGTAATCATCTTAGATTTCTATTTTAGTTTTTGCCTCTAAACCGACTGAATTATGCGCCTTTTGGAATCATGAACAGCCTCCTCCTTTTCCGTCGTTTTTTTTTTTTTTTTTTTTTTTTCCCTGTTGTGCAGTGCATAACTGGAGAGAAACCATGTGAAACCGATGCGTCTTCCCTTGTTCTGGTTAAACACGGCCCTTGAAATCCTTAGACAATTCTGCCCTTTTTTTTGTCTAAATATACATATATATAGATATACGTATATATTTTCTATAATAACACCTAGAAGTGCACAAATAAACAGATATTAGATATATGATTTCTCAGAGTAAACATCCAGGAAAAGACTGTAACTAGGTAAAATGCCCGGGGCTTTTATTTTTTCCTTGTACCCGCTGAGAACTGGCCGTATGTAGTTGGTTTAAAGGATGGCAGTTTAAAAAAATCAGCAGTGATTGATTACTTTGCCGGCAAGGTCAGTCAGATCACACCGACCTTTTATTCAAAAAAAGAAAAAACAGAAAAAAAAAACGTTGACAATGCAAACCCTTAATAGATAGCAATGATACTTACTTGAAAATTTAAATACCGAAACCGCTGAGATATTGGCCCGTGATAGTTTTTGTACATAAGGTAACATATTTAATGTTTTATACGTATTTCTACTGGGTTAGTTGTTTTACTTCCCCAACTTGAAGCACTTTTGTTCACTGTACCTCTGTCTGAGAGTGTGTGAATCTGCGTGTATGTGTGTGCATACTTGCATGTGTTTCAGCCCACGTGCATGGCTGCACATGAAAGTGAATGTTTACTTTCTCTTCATTTTTTTCCTCCTCCCTTTCTGTTCCTCTTTTTATTTTCTTTTTTTTGCAGCTGTCTGCTTTACACTTCTGCTCCTGCTGATCTGAGGTCAGGAGCCTGTTTAGTTTTTTTGGAAGTGATTTATCCCCATTTTTGTTTTTCTTTTTCTGTTAGTTTGTTTAGCTTTTGTGGTGAGAGCCCATTTAGAGGGCTGTCGTTTAGGTCTCTGTTAAGCCGTGTAGACGTCAAGGGCGAGCTGGAATCTCCCGCTATGTCGCAGGGAAAGCCTTTATCGAGACCCTTTCACCACCACAGTTAGTGTCTCCTGTATACTCGAGCGCTTTCAGGCAGCGGACATGTTGGAGGTCCTTCGCAGCAGTGCTGGCTGTATTTATCTGATTGTATTTCACCAACATGTTTACTTTTGTCCAAAAATGACCTGTTAACTTCTATGTTCTATTTAATGTGATGTGTTGCGTCGATTGGTTTTCGTCCTCTTGACTATAGCCTCACCGTCTCCTGTTTTAAAGATGTTTTAAAACGTACCCTATGTTTACTTCCATCCTCACAATTTTTTCTACAGCCAGTTGTCTAATCTGTTTGTGCAGCCCTGGACAATTTAGGCAAAAAAAAAAAAAAGGAGTTGTGCTCCAAGATGCATGTAACCATAGCTTAATCCTGAAGTTGGTCTTTAATGGTGCATTCAAACAGTCCATACTGAATTTAGGGCTCACAATATGGTGTGCCATAATTTATTGGAACTACCAGGCCCAGTCTTAGTTCCAGAAACATTTATAATGATAAACTGACCGCTAAGGCTGTTTGGCAGCTTTCAGAAGCTGATTTATAGCCATAAAGGGTATTTATGGTTAGATTTTACATTCATATATTTGTTCTTCATGAATAAGTTATACGAGTTGATGAACTTAAATGCACCATTGAAGAATGATAATCATACTTCCTTCCAATGTAGCATCACACACACACTCAGATGGGTCAAATGTCATAAATTTGGTCTGATACAGCAACTGTTGCTCGATTCGGAAGCTGATTTGCTTCTTCTCAGCCAAAATTGTTACTTAGGATGCATACGATTTTCCCCTCCTGTTACTCGTAGGCAGCCAGTTTGTTCGAAGGCTCCTACGGGATGCCGCCAGCTGTGGTCAAAGTATCCGAAGAGCGTCCAAACTCTCCCTTTCACGAGATTAGCCAACAAAAAGCAGGCGCCAGTGTCACCGATGTGTACCAAATAATGACCACGGTCTGCTGAGCGCGTCAGGAACGAAGGCAATCAGCTCCAAGAGATTCAACCTCTATACCAAATTTAAATGCTAGAAAGTGTGTCGCTAACGGCGTCACCTTCCTGCAGAATGTTTAGACTCTCTGAGCTTAACAGCATCAAAGGCTGAAAGTTGTGGGTATTTGCTGCTGAAAACTGTTTACTTTTCCTTTTTTTTCTGTTATGCTGTGATGCTGGCTGCCTGCTTTTTGAGCTCTGTCACCTGAAAGGATGTCGATCAAAGGCGGGAAATGTATACCAGGGAAAAGACTGCACAGGATCTTTTCTTAGGACTGTTAAAACTCCAGTTTAAGGTCTACAGCATGTTGTATTTATAATGGCTTTATGTTGTGCCTGTTTTATTTTTTGTTATGTTTCTTCCTCTAAATTTAAAGACAAATATGCTTTTATTTGAGAACATTGCTTTGCATTCTGTCTTAGTGAAGCCATTTCACGTCTGTTTTCACTCTAATGTAAACTATCAGATATCACAATAAATTTTCAATGGCATTAAACTGTGTTCTGTCTGTGGGCTTATTTATTTTTATCGTGCAAGTTAGAAAAACTATGGAGAGAGATTAAAGGAGATGAAGAAAGATCGGGTTTGTTCAACACTGGAATTCGGTCCTTAAGGAGTTCTCAGGTCATAGGGCATACTGTTACAACCCCCACCCTTAAGAACACTAAAGGGTAAATTCTGGCACTGGGTGTAACACAAAAGTCAGTAAACTAAAAGATGATGTCAGCAGGAAAATATGATTTATTTACAATTTGCAGGGGTCACAAAAAAAACAAACAGCAAGACAGGGAAGCTTAAAGCCTCAGGGTCTCCAAGGCCAAAACAACAAACAAACCCCCCCCCCCCCCCCCTTACTTATAAAACAAAACACTTTCTAACATAGAAAATGAAAAGGAAATACAATACCTGGACTCCCTGGCTAACCACAAAACAAGGAGAAAACAGTTCAACAAAAATGGCAGAGAACCCCTACCAGCTTCCACTGTGAACAGAAAAACAAAACTTTAGTCAATCAATTGTTCAACATGAACACACAGAGACATTCAGCTCATGAACAAGATCACTTCAGATCAAGGCCCAGTGAATAAGAGAAGGGGCCTGACATCTCAGGATTGAAGCTCTTTATGAGGTGGCTGACGAGCTTCAACGCATTGCACCTGTAACAGCCAGGGAGACCTGAAACACAAACATAGAGCTCTCTCATGAAGAGAGCCCCTAGAGGTCAGTGACCGTAACACCCTCCCCCATAAAATCCTTCATTAAATAATTTTTCAGCATCATACGTACTCTAGGGAGGTGAGCAGCATTATATCCTGGACAGTACATCAGCTATTACGTTTTCAGCCCCTCTCTTATGCCTGATGTCCAGACTATACTCTTGGGCCAGTAAGGCCCACCGCATTAATCGCTGGTTGTGGTTATACATACGGTTTAGGAAGACTAATGGGTTATGGTCTGTATAGACTATAACGGGACTTGTTGAACCCACATAAACTTCAAAATGCTGCAAAGCTAGCAGCATGGCCAATGTTTCCTTCTCAATTGTGGAGTAGTTCAATTGATGAGGCTTGAACTTAGCTGAGTAGTAGGAAACTGGGTGACTGATGTCATCAGTTCCATCTTGGAGTAACACTGCTCCAGCCCCAGTGGCGCTGGCATCCACTTCCAGCTTGAAGGTCTTGCTAAAATCCGGAGCTGCCAATACAGGAGCACTGCATAGAAAGGACCTTGCACAGTCAAATGCATGTTGACACTCAACAGTCCACGTGAATGGTTGCTTCGGACTACACAACTTTGTCAGAGGAGCCACCACCATTGAGAAGTTCCTGCAGAAACATCTATAATAACCAACCAAACCCAAGAACCGCCGAAGCTCACGTCGTGTGGTGGGCACAGGGTAGCGTAGGATAGCATCCACCTTTGCATCCACTGGACGAACCTGGCCATGGCCTACTTCCTTTCCCAGGTAGGTCACCACCGCTTTGGCAAACTCACATTTTGCCAGATTCAAGGTGAGGGAGGCTTGAGCTAGACGGGCAAACACAGTCTTCATAGTGTTAATGTGATCTTTCC